CGTCGGACCACTGGAAGTCCCCTTCAATCGTGCGGTCGTTCAGGCCGATCCACTGGTATTCTTTGTACTGATCTGGAATCGAGGAAGGGACTCTTCAGGGATGGGGAAAACCGTGACCAGACAAAAGCACGAACGTCATAAGCACGCCGACAAAACCGCGGCGCTAAAACCGCGATGTCAAAAGCGCATTGACAACAGCACGCCGACAGAAGCGCGATTTAAGTTAAGGTAAGGTTTAGGGTTAGGTTTAGGATTAGGTTTAGGGTTAGGTTTAGGGTTAGGTTACAGCACGCTTCTGTCGGCGTGCTGTTGTCGGCGTACTTCAGGGCTCATTCGTCGCTCCTTCGTTGCACGGTTTTGTCGGCGTGCTTATGACGTTCGTGCTTTTGTCTGGTCACGGTTTTCCCCATCCCTGAAGAGTCCCTTCCTCGATTCCAGATCAGTACAAAGAATACCAGTGGATCGGCCTGAACGACCGCACGATTGAAGGGGACTTCCAGTGGTCCGACGGGAGTCCTCTGGTAAGTGGAGCTCAGGAAGCTCCCTGGGCTGAAGGCTCTGAAGCTTCGGGAAAGGGGCGAGGCTGTAGAAACCCCCCCCCCCACAGAAGCCCCTGCCAGCCTCTGAAGAGGCCTTGGGGGCCCTCCGAAAGGAGGCCTTTGGGATAGGATGGGTGGGGTCTCCCAAGTGGGAGGGGGTCTTCATCTCTGTGCCTGTGGTGCCTCCTTGCGTGGTCTGAGCTGGAGGGGTGGTCTTAGCCCCACTGAGGTTTCTGTCTGTTGTGCCCCATCCTGAGTGGGCTCATCCTTCGCGTTTACTAGTGGACCAAGCCAAAAGGCTCACAGCGCCGCAGCTGCCCAGTGCCCACTGGAGCTGCCTGTGTTTATCCGGTCAGTCAGGGGAGATTTTAAGGAAAACGGCTTCCCCCACTGACGTCGCGGAGCAGCCCAGCCATTCCAGTCTGGAAATAGGGAAAGTCCCTCCCTGCTTGGGCCGAGCGTCCTGGGCAACCCTCGCCCTTTGCCAGCCTTGCCCACACGAGCAGCCCAGACCCGAGTGGTTGATCTCTCTCTTTCTCTGCCTGCTCTGGAAGCTCTACGAGAACTGGCACAACGGGCAGCCGGACAGCCACTTCCTCTACGGGGAGAACTGCGTGGGCCTCTCCTGGCGAAAGGACGGGAAGTGGAGTGACGTCCCCTGTGGCTACCATCTGCCCTTCACCTGCAAGATGGGACTGAGTGAGTATCCGAGGGGAGAAACCCCCAAAGCGATACCCCCTCCTGGTTTCCCCTCCAGGACCCTGCAAAAGTCTAAGCAACGGCAAAGCAACAAGTCGGGGAAAGAGACGCACCCGAGGAGGATTCAGGCTGGGCCCCTGAGCTCATACGCTTTCACAGGCCTGAAGAAGAGGCTCCGGGTGTGACCCCCCTTTGCTTGCCTGGCAGGGAGATCTTGAATGGGAGGGGGGGGTCCCTGGACACTAGGATCAGCCGAGAGGGGCCTCCGACCGACCCTTTGGGCACTGGAAGCTGGACAGTCTCTGTCTGAAAGAAACACAGGGCCTCCCCTGTGGGGCGAGGGGCCCTGGGGCTGTGCTGGAAGGGGCCCTTCAGCTACGCTGGGCCTTGTCATCCCCCTCCGGCCGAGGCTGCTTTGGAGACCAGGGTCATTTGGGACTTATGGTCCAATGCTGCACCCAAATGCTGGGCATCCCCCCCTCCCAGCTGTTGAGCAGCAGGGGACCCAACTGAGCCTTGGACTTCTCTCCCCAGTCTCTTGCAGCTCCCCTCCCAAAGTGGCCGATGCGCAGATATTTGGCAAACCAAAGCAGCGTTACGAAGTCAACTCCGTCCTCCGATACTGGTGCCCAGAAGGCTTCCTTCAGCACCGCTGGCCCCTCATTCGCTGCCAGGAGAACGGCCAGTGGCAGCAGCCGCAATTTGCCTGCAGCCCCCCAGAGTCCTAGAGGCCGGCTGCCCCAGCCCAGGGGCCCTGGGGAACTTTGGGGAGCCGGGGGCTTCTCTGGGGGGGATGGAGCCCTGGGTGCCCCAGCAGGGTGGGACAGGGGTGTTGTGGGAAGGGGCTCCCGAGTGCAAACACTCATTGCCATGGGAACTGAGGGGGTCCGGAAGTAGAAGGCAGGGGAGGGCTTCCTAGGGCAGCAGGAAGGGGGGGGAGGGCAAGCCTCTTTCTACTGAGGGCATGAGAAAGGGGAGCCTGTATGTCAGGGGCTGCTTTGCCCATCTCTTCCCCATTCTCCTGCTATAAGTGATGTGCCTACGCCCCCCCCTCCAGCCCCCTCCCCCCACAGGGCAAATTAAAAGAGACCTTTAAGATTCGTGATCTAGTACAGAGGGAGGAGAATGTGGTGCCTTTTGCTCTTACTCGTTGTTGTTTTTTTACGTTATTATTATACTGTCTGTGTACACATAAAGATAATCTAATAACTAAATGGTTCTTTAAACAGACTTTTTAAGGGTGGCCTCCTTTCTCCCATCCCCCGTGGGGGCTGCCCTTCTCACCTTATAGCTAACTCTTCAAACCCACAGCTCTCCCCAAGAGCCTTAAACCCCACCCCGCCCCAAATAGTGGTGGGGAGCCTCCTGCTTCTCTGGCTGATGGGACTCTGTCCCTGGGATGCCTCCCACCCACCCACCAAGAGGGTCCTGGAGACTTGCTCAAGGCCACCGGATTCATTCATGGCCACTGAGTTGGCGGGATTCCCTCTTCGCCCTTTGCAACCCACTGAATGCTGAGTTTCTGTATATTTTGGCCCAGTCCTGGGGCTATTTTATCTGCTGGATTATTTTAATAATTGTTCATATCTTGTTTCATCATGGACAACTTATTTCACCATGTTGTAATGTATCCTTTATCATATTTGCCAACAGAATGTCCATAGAAAGTGTAATACGGAGGATAAAATAATAATAGAAAAGTTTTAATATTTCTATTATAACTTTTTAAATTAAATAATGTCAGTGAAACCAAGACGTTCCCTATTTCAGTGGAGAAATTGGAGCTGGTAACCTAGTGTGTTAAGGGCATTGAAGTAGACACATTGCTCTGTCCTTCGCCTCGTCCTTTTTCCCTTGGCGACGTCCAGGCAGCGTTTCTTATATTAAAGGATTGCAGAATGGAACAAAAGCAAAGGGCTGACCAATTTTAATACTAAGACCTCAAGAACGGCAGCAATTTCCCAGGATATCAGCAGGGACGGAGCAGAGGTGGAATTCAGCAGGTTCTGACCAGTTCTGGAGAACCGGGAGCGGAAGGTTTGAGGAGTTTGGAGAACCAGTAAATACCACCTCTGACTGGCCCCGCCCCCATCTATTCTCTGCCTCCCGAGTCTCAGCTGATGGGGAGGAAACGGAGGTTTTGCAGTATCCTTCCCCTGCCACGCCCACCAAGCCACGCCCACCAAGCCACGCCCACCAAGCCACGCCCACC